TAAATTGGGATCGGGAATATCCAATGTGCCTGGTGCAGCACCTGATGCGCTACTTTCACCACTTTCACCAGCATAGTGTTCAGTCCATACCTCTTGGTCATCTCGTCTGTTTGCTTTCAATGAATTAAATGCACCAAAGTTACCACGTTTACGTTCATGTGACTTAACAAGTGCATAAGCCAAAGCATCAACTAGAGCACGTTTATACTCTTCAGCGCTAACATCAGATGATCTTTTTTTGATTGCTCGAGCATCAACTTTATTGTCGATGAGAAAACCAGCTAAAACTAATAATACTGCACAAATAACATTTATTGTTCTAACTTGGACTTGCATCTTGGATGAAACCGTATAATATTATAATAGTAAATATAATAGCACCTCTTTTCGTCTTGTTTGATTGAAATGACTTCATGTATTTATACTATCATTGTCGTTTGTTTTTTTCTAAACCATCCCCCACACATTTTTTTGCTAGTTTTTATCTTTTTTGTCACATAAAAATACTTTGAAAACAAGGAGAGAAAGACTGTATCCGTTGGTGTACAGTATTAGAAAAATATCTCATAAATCACTGAAGCATATCAGACTTTTTCTTCATTTGATTTTGTCCATGTGGTAGTCTTTGTAATCAAAGGAGACAAGCTCAACGCAAAAAATAAAATGAAGGTCATTAGTCCTGTTTTTCTTCTTTACATCAAGACATGTACACCTTTTTTTTGTCATGAAGTTTATTGATGCATTCATCTCGAAGATGGTAAACAAAATTGTAAGAATCTTTATTTTGATATCGACAGAAAAAATATTTGTGAATAACATAAAAGATGAGAAAAACAGAAGAGTTTTATCTAAATTTTATTATTTGAGTTGATATGAATCACTTTCATAATATCATCTCATATATTGAATCTGAAAGTGATAGTTGAAAATGAATCTAACTAATTTTCATTTCCTTGATTATCGTTCATTCAGTATCTTCAAATATTTCATTCTAACTAAGTTTGTCATTAAATGATCGATTAATCTTGAATAATTCGTTATTTAACTATATTTTGCAATCGAGTAAATGATAAAAATATTTTTCGGTCCAATCAAATAACATATTACGTTTAATTATAATATATGACAAAAAAATACAGGTACATGTTCTCAATGAATCATATTCAAACGTCTACAAATTATATAAATGCATTCATAACAGACATCCTTATTCAATATCAAAAGTCAATAATATCTTTCGAAAACAAATCTTATATTTCTTTTGAGAATTTATATCAAAACAATTCATTTTACTGTTATGTTGATTTTATTTCTTAGTTATTGACAAATGAAATTAACAAATGTTGATAACTTTTGATCGGTATGATTTATATTCTATTTTATATGATTTTTGTTTTGTTGACTAGAATAAACTTATTTTAACAAAATATGTATTATATTCATATCTGTGTTTATTAGTATTTTCTAATTCGTATAATTACAAGTATGAACTAACATAAAATGTGAATTGTTTTTTGTTTGAATTAACGTTACAAATAATAAATACAAAAAAATCGTTGAAATCCAGCTTATCAGTGACAACAAGCCATTTTTTCTTTCTTTTTTATATATGATTTTTTTTTGATTAATAATTTATCTATGCTTTTTTATTTTGTGATTGACAGAACATGTACGAATAAGTCACATACATATTGGCTACGAATGACTGAATATATTGATGACCATTATATTTGCTCGTATTCGTTTTTATTTTTTTATTACTGATTCGTGTTGTACTTAATGCACATTTAATTATAGCAAAATCATTTGATCTATAATTTTATGCAAACTAATTTACGGATTAGATATTAATTTCTAGTATGAAAAATAAATACTTAATGATGTATAATTTATTGATAAAAAAAAAACTTATATGATTATATTGATTGTAACATGTTCTATTCGATGTACTTAACTAAGAATATCTCAACTATTAAACTAATATAAAATTTATCTAAAAATAGTTTATGATAAAATATCATGGAACAAATCAATATTTTCGTATATATTCTTTGATTTTCTCTATATTGTTTGTTAGTCGAAGACATTTATAAAAGATAATATTATTACTATCTAAGTACTTTATATATCAATGAAAACTTGTAAGATAATTTATTAGATTCTGAAGTATGTTTTAGTAACCGGTATTGCGAAAGAAATTCAATATTTCATACTTAAGATATCGGAGAATGATAATCTCCTGTTTTCCTATGTGTTGGTGATGTTGAATGTTAACAGTCGGAAATCGTTTATCATCAGTAAAATAAGCGATTAATTAGTTTTATCTTGCATTATCATTGCATAATCTAGCTATATATATATTATAAATCCATTGATTAAGTCATTTAAGATAGTATAGGAAATATTTTATTGAAATTATATAATTAAATATTCACTTGTGCTACTTGTAGTTGAAAAAAATTCATAAGAAATGTATTGAGTCGTTCTAGAAAGAAAACAAATTTTGAATTATATTTTTTGATTTGTTTTTGCATTACTTATGATATTTAATTCTATTTTACGATAAACAAATGGATAATAAAATAGTAAACCAGATAGAATAATAGCAGAAGCAATAAGAAATCCAATATCTGGCTGTGCAATGACAGGTCCAATTACCAAATAAGCTGCAATTAAAATTATTATAATAACGAGTGGTATTGGAATCTGAAATAGATCGAAAAGTCTTCATTTGTTTTTGAAAACATATTATTCTTTTTACATTAATCACTCGATCAGCATTCTTTTTTGTATATTTACAAATAAGTGTCGCTAAAAATGTTAATCCATAAAATATCCATGCAGCAAAACTGAAAAAATCAATCAATGCTTCGATATTACTTGGAAGACATAATAGTATTGCAATAGAACCCTTAAAAAAAATGAAAATATTATCAAACAATTATTCATTAATTTATTAACCTGAAGAAAAACTGTAGGTATTGGTGTCAATCTTGTTTTATGAATACAGGAAAATATTTTAGGTAAATATCCATATTGAGCGCCAACTAAACAGTAACGAGAAGCTGCATAAAGACTACCATTGCCACCACCCAATGCACTAATTGATATAAGAATAGGTAGAGCACGTACAGCAGGTCCTAATACAGCTTCACCCCAAGTCTATATAGAACTAACAGATAAAATATACAATAGGTTGTTTTTACATACTACTGCAACAGCATTTGAGCTAAGTAATGCTGCTTTGCTCATTACAGTAAAATAAGATATGTTCGTAAAAAGATAAAGAACAATCACTGATGGTAATGCCAATGCTATAGATAACCATAAATTTCTATTAAAATAATTTTATGATTGATTGATTGATTGATAAATTTGTGTTAGATTACCTTTTAGGATTTTTCAGTTCTTCTGTTACAGAATTCAAACTATTCCATCCATCATATGCCCATAGACCCGAATAAAAAGCAAGTGCAACTTTGAAAGGTTTGGTTGTTGTACCTATTCTAGATAAAATTAAGCGATTTTTCTGTATACATCATTATTTAATTCTACCAGCGAAACTATTTTGTAAATTTTGTGTATGTCCTAAAATTTAATATTATTTTTTTTTTGATTTTTCTTCTTATCTAATAATAAAACAAACCTTGTCCAAGTCGTATAATACCAATAATAATGACTGTTAAAATAGTTGCTACTTTACAAATTACAAAAACAATATTTAATCGATTAGCAGCAGTCGCACTAATTGAATTGATATTGATGAGCATGACTTTGAAGAGAAGTGATGCTACTTAGATCGATAAAAAAGTATAATAAACATACGAATTGTAAAAACAGCAGTCATTTTGACAACTTCAGGTGAAGGACCACAATCTAAACAAGATAAATACATAAATATATATATATTTGAAAAGATAATTAATTTACCAATCATAATACCAGATAAAAAGTATTGAGAAAAAGTAAGTATAAGAATTGCAATACTTGCTGGCTTAAGAATAAGTGTACTGGTCCAGCAGAATTGATAAGCTAATATTTCACCGATACGTTCATGAACTGAACCAATACCTGTTGATATAGATATTCAATTATATTATTTCTGTTAGATTAAAAAATATATAAAAGTACAACACCTTCTTTCATATAAGCTATTTCTGCACCATTTCTTGGTATTACTGTACCAATTTCTGCATAACATAATGCTCCTATAAATCATAATAAGATATATCTAAAAACTACGATATCCAACAATACAAACCAAGTAAAGAAACTAGGCCACATGAAACCCAAATAATCAAACATAAACCAACGGATTCTGTTTCACGTAAAACACCTTTAGGTGAAATAAAGATACCCGAACCTAGAAATAAAACATTTTCATATCAGTATACAAACGAATCACATATTTATTTTTACCAATAATAATCCCAACAATAAAACTAACACCTGAGAATAAACCCAAATGTCTTTTAAGTGTGACTTCATCAGTTTGTAAGACACCATCTGATGTGTTCGATTTATTAGTTGATACATTAGTCGTTGAATATTGGTGTGAAACAATCGTTGAGCTGCTCTGACGTCGATAAACAGAATCAGTATCAGCTAGAAACAAAAAAGATTGATCATAAATAGTCTTATTAAATGTTATCGGTTAACCCATAGATGCATTTGATGAAGTATTTGTTGCCATATGAAGTTCACAATGTTTATCATATGAAATGCACGATTTAAATATATATATTATCAACATTCAACATTTCTTATGATAGAATAAGATTATATGACCTTTTTCTTTTAACATTTCATTATCTATACAAGACGAATCAAATAAAATCGATCACGACATATATCTAATAATAGGTGTTCCTGTTGAACTTTTACATCATAATCATGACTCAATCATAAAGTTAGAAAGAAATATCATTTATTCTATTATCTGTTAATCATTTGCTTTCAAAACGAAAGTCTGAACGTATATATATCTCTTCTGATTAGTTAATAATAATTATATATTCATATTTTGATAGAAATCAAAATATTTATTTTATTTATGAGATACAAAACAAATAATGTATGCACTACTAAGACAAAAATAATTGGCATGCAACTGAAAAATCGAAAAGCATGAAAAGTTCTTTTTTTTCGTTGTTTTGGAGAGAATAGAGTGGAATGATCTGTAGTTCAAATATGATTCGTTGTTGTAAGTTAAAAAACTAATTTGAAATCTTTAGAAAACACGGATCATTGCCATACGATCTTTACCAACACCAATCCATTTGACTATTAAGAAAGAAAGAAACAAATTAAGATAAATTATTAAATAGTTATCGATAACGAACCAGGTACACCAAGAAATTGTTCAATAAATTGAACATAAAGACGAGCATTATGTGGAAGTGAATTAAACGTACGACATTCAGATGTTGAACGTCCACGCCAACCGGGGAATGTAACATATTCAACCTCAATATCATGCATTGTATCGACAGAGGCTATTAAAAATAACAATAAAATTTATATCGTTTCTTTTTTCTAAAAAAAATGCAAACCAGGAAAACTTGGCAATTCAACACCATTTCGTTTGTATGTTGTCGCAACTTTGATTTCAGCTAATTCATCAAGTGTATCAAGTTTTGTTAAACATAAAGCTGTAAAACCATTTATCATAGTTGTATATCGAAGTAAAACAAGATCAAGCCAACCACAACGACGTTTTCGACCTGTTGTTACACCCCATTCACGACCACGTGTTTGTAAATGTTCACCAATTTCCTTTATAAAATATAGATATTAACGAAATTTATATTAATTTTCTATTTACATTTCGAAGTTCAGTTGGAAAAACACCATCACCAACACGTGTTGTATAAGCTTTAACAACACCATATATATCACCGATATATTTAGGTGCAAGACCAAGACCAGTACATACACCACCAACACTACAATTCGATGAGGTTACATATGGATATGTACCTAAAGAAGTAAAATATCAACATTAACTATCTTTACAGGAAAGTATACTGCTATAAAATAGAATACCAAATGAGAATTTCATAAGTAAATTATTCTCATACAGATTTTAGACAGTATATCTACAGTAACAAATGCATTGCAGCAGAATTAATCGTACTCGAATACCGTGCATATTTCCCCATTAGATAACGCGCAATGGAAAAAATTCGATTTGCACCGGATTAGTACTGTAAAACCTTCGTTATCATGTTTTTATATTCCTCTTGTGACTACATTTTGATCAAATTATTTCTCTCCTTTTTTCAAACTACTTTCGAAATAAATGAATTTGATAAACTTACCGAAATCAATATCAAGCATGGTAGCATTTGCACCTTCGACGAGAATTTTTTTTGAACCATCAAGAATATTTTGATTCAAATAAGCGACTGTATCAATAATCATTGGACGAAAATATTCCGCAAGTTTTTTGAATTGTTCAATTGTTTTTTCAATATCAAGATCCAAATCAGGAAATGTTAATTTATAATAATTATAAAGATTTCGTAATCTATTTTGTACAAGGAAAAGAAAATATTTAATAATATATAGAAAAATTAATAATAATTCACTTTTCGGTAAATATGGAAAAATCACCAATTAAATCAATTGCTCGAATACCATTTCGTGTAGCCTAAAAAATTCTAATTATTAATTTAATTGTCCGAAAAATTAAATAGCCATACTTTTGATGAATATGTTGGTCCAATACCTTTTTTCGTTGTACCAAGGCTATATGAAATAATCAAAAATAATGATTCAATTTAATTAATTATGGATACTTGCCTACTGGTTCCACGTCCTCGTTCAATTAAACCATCACTCATTTTATGAAAATCAAAAACTAAAATTTTCGAAATCTATCGTTATTAAAACTGAGACAAAAGAAAATATGTCATATCTACCAAGATGAGCTCGATCTGAAATCAATAATCGTTGTGACCAATTCGTAACACCACGAGATTCATTCTTTTCAATTTCTTCCACTAATTCAGGTAAATTAACCACACAACCATTACCTAAATCAATTATTTATTTACATCGAGCTTTATTTTATTTATCTACCAATGATATTAACACAGTTTTGTAAATGAAAACCGGATGGAAGCATATGAAAATCATATTCTACACCTTCAACAACAACACTATGTCCAGCGTTATTTCCACCCTGAAATAAATTACATAATAAAAACTCATGAGAAATTCAATATAATTTACTTGACATCGACACACAATATCGGCTTCAGATGCTAATAGATCAACTAATTTGCCTTTTCCCTAAAGAGAAATTACTTTCTATCGTAAAAATATTCATCGTTATTTTTTCATCTATTTACTTCATCACCCCATTGCGCACCGAGAACGATAGCAACCATCGATGGATTTGGAAAAGGATGTACAGCTGCACTGTTACGTCGATTTGCTATTGCCGGACGAGCTGTCATTCTGTTATTTTTAAATCTATAGAATAAGAAAAAATCCATATTATATTTATTTAGAAAATAAATATATCCATAAATAATAATTTTATATAAGAAAGAATATCAAAAATAAGGATATATACCTAGATGATGTAGAAAAAACTTTATTTTATTACATATTTATATAATAAATAATTCAACCAGGCAATTTGTTCCATTATCCGTAAATACTTCTTATAGATATATGCTGAACTCCGAAAGATTACATGTATTGACTAGACAAAATCGTCCAAACTACTGGATGTAGGAATGAAAAATCAAAGGCTATCATATATAATAATCCAGTATATGTCGTGCAAATCCAACGAGCATTTCTTCTTTTTATGATCTAGAAAAAATCAAAAAAATACATTTAAAAATCATTTTATGAATGTAGTTATATACGTGACGTTATGCAAATCGAAAAATACGTGATGGAACGATTACTAAGCGTAGAGTAAATATGATTTTAACCTCGTAAGATTTTTTAAAGCTATTTTAAGAAAATATGAATAACTATGATGAATCTATTTTTTTAGTGCGTATTAGAACAATAATACCGGAGACCTCTATTAAATTTTTTATTGATTAATTTTATATCGAATAGAAATACGAATGAGTCATATAGATAGATAGATAGATAGAAATAGCTTATCTTCTTCTTTCTACTGTTCCCTTCTCAATTTACCAAAAGAATATCATATTCTGTTTTTATAATAGATGAAATTTTATAAGATATACTATTTAATAATTCAATTTTGTTTTATAATGACATTAACAAGTAACTCATTGACTCAACAGAAATTATACTTCAAAGGATAATTCTGAAAAAGAAGAATATCAAGTTTCAGTATATCAATAAAAACGAAAATATGTTCTACTAAGTCATAACCCAAATCAAATCAATCGTTATAAAATCTGAACAAATGTAGAAACACCTCTCAGATGACGACTATTATCATATGGAAGAATGAGAATTCTCAGTATTACGTTGGTTCTCTAGTTTCCAATGGTATTCTTTTGTAAATAGATGACAGACGAGTTTTCCTATAAGGGAATAATTTCTTTCGTTTTAGTTAAGGAACTGCAAAGTGGTCCCGGTACCAAGACTAAAATTGTCAAATAATTCCTTAATGTTTTTATCAAGTATGAGACTAGAGATTTTCTTATTTTTTTTCTCTAATTAAAAATTGACAAATGTGTTATTTTATAGTTCAAGAAAAACCGTATAGATTGAATTTACAATCGAAAAAGCGAGAATTTTCATGAACTTCATATTTGTTTTGCATAGATGAAGACAACACCAGACTTATTCTTAAGCTTTCATTAAGACCCAGACTAAAAAAAGTGATTTTGCAGTTCCCTAGTTTTAGTGTTTATCTTTAAATAATTGTAATAACAGAAAATCTTTTCAAATACATCCATATAGTTTGAATATCTTTATTAGAAACAGATATATGAATCTATAAATAATGTATTTACATTAAGCATTAGTATTAAGATTTTGTATATGAAAAGAATAGAAGTAGATAAAGAAAAAACTTAATTAATATACCTATAAAATTACATGTGTTCATAAGAGATTCCAGTCGCATATTAATTCAGTTCTTTGTAATCTGAACATAAAAGCATTAGCATTAAGACTAATTCGATACTGGTATTTAAAAATAGATATTAATTAAATAAGATTACATACAGAGTAATTCAAAAGGGATTAGTAAATAGAAGGACTATTATTCATTGTAATTAAAATTTGAATAAAAAAAATTTTGTTCACTGAAATGATGAATTGGTTTCTAGGTTTTAGATAATATGACAGAACAAAGATCAACATCTGACAATGTTCGATCAGAATTGGTATGATGAACTAAAGATAAACGGAAGGATTTTGTTATATTTTTGAAAGTATTCAGCACGTACTAAAATTATAATTCTAGGTTGATATAGCAGTTGGATTTTTAAAAAATCCGAAAATTGCTAATGAACACATGGAACGAAAACGTGATTTTTTACAAAAGAAAGGTTTTAATTATATCCATCTGATTTGTTTTCAACAAAAATAACTTGTTTTAGGTCTTACTGATTCTGAGATTAATAATGCATTTCAACTTATACCTCCACCAGGTTAATTTTGCTAATAATAAAATCAAAAATTATTCTCTTTTTCTTATTGATAGAGATAACAAAACAAATTACTTCTAATCAATCAACATCTTTTCTTTATCGATTTTTAAAAGATTTAACAGTTGCTGGACTTTTAGTATTTATTATTAAATTAATTCAAAGATCATTTCATTCAGTAAGGAAACAAACAAACAAATATAATAGCAAATAAATCATCAATTCTAGAATCATTCGAATGAAGTAAATGACATAATAAAAAATCTTCAAAAATCCATTCAAGATATGCAAACAAGTGTTACTAAACTTGAACAAACTACTGATCTATTAAATTTAAACATAAAAACTTCAAATACGAATCAATCATCATCATTATCAATCGAAGAAATTAAACAACAAGTTCAAGAATTAAAACAATTATCTTTAGGTCGTTTACAATTTCCACAAGTTTCATTATGGCAATCGAATGTATGTTAATTTATTTATTTCAAACAAGTAAATATTATGTTTTTTTTCTTATAGAGAAATAAATCCAATCTAACAACTACAGATAGTGATAATGATGGTATTATTGTTATATCAGAACAGGATAAAAAAAGTGACGATGAAAATCTATCATCAAATGATAATTAATTATTTTTTTGTTATTGTTGCATGTTAACACTTTCTTATTTCTATTAAATGATGGTTTTGGGAAACAAAAGTTTTTGACATATTCGAGTTTATACAAAGGATAATAATATAATCTTATTTACATATCTATTATACATCAATGCATTTCGATTAAAGAAAAATTGAATATTTATAATAAAAACAACCAATTTATTTTATTCTCTATTGATTAACTAAAAGTTGATGCTGAATATTTTTCTCATTAACCAATAAAAAAATTTTGATTAAAAAAAACCCAGAGAAAAATGTATTCGTGAAAACATAGAAACTTACTTTTCTTCTCAAAGAATACCTTCTGCGCTTAACAAAAGAACGGGGAAAAATATACTATCACGGAATATGATTTAAAAGCTGTTGCTCATTTAGATAGAAATTATTCGGAATCATTGTATAGACTAATAGAATCGATTTCTGTCTGTTACGAAATATAAATTGACCATTTTAATTTTATTGAATATTATACTTCATGTATCTGGCAATCGTTAAAATTAACTAATTAAAAATAATCATAAATAGCTGTACAATAAACATGATAAAATATGAATAAGTTCAAAACAAATTTTCTTTTTTTTCTTTTATACTTCAAATTCATCAGTCCATTCTACACTATTTCCAAGTAATTTATTCACTTTATTCCATTCACGGTCACGTTCATATTGTGGATCAAGATTAAAACGTACTTTAGGTTTTAATATAGTTGATGTATGTTGCTGTTGTGGTGGTGGTGGTTGTTGTTCATCAACACTATCCATTATTTTATTATTTGTTATTTTCATAATTGAAGTTGGTTGAATACGATTAATTATAGTTGGTGTTGCAACAAAATCTGAAATTAAATCATCTTCTTGCATTATAAATACATTACGATCATCTGTTGTCCATAAAGTATTCGTTTTAGTTTGTTCTTCTCTTTGGGATAATTCAAATTCTTGTACAAGATCAATTTCACCATTATCAGCACTATCATCACCTTCGGATATATCATTTGTTGAACTTTCTTGTGTATCATCTTCTTCGGAAACGATTTGAGATTGTTGATTAGATGTTTGTATAGTATCACAAAAAAAATCTGAACGTGTCGCTGTTTGCGATGGTACAGGACATTTTAATGATAATGATTCATCAGTCGTTTGATCAAGAGCTAAAAACAGAAAGAAATATAAATCTGCTTTTTTGTGTTTAAAATATATTTTGAGACATACATGTTGAATTCATATTACTGTTAATACTAAACTGTTCAGTTGAATTAATGGACGGAGTTGAAGAAGATTTATCAGATATAATTTCTTCTGCTTGTTGTTTTTGTACTGATGAAATCGATTTTGTTGTAACAAGAGGTTTTTGTAATTGTTTTATTTGAAATTCTCGTAGAGAAAATTTTTCCGGTTGATTCAATGATAATATACTTAAATCTTCATCATCTTCATCACATGATGTTTCTGATAATGTATTTAAATATTGTAAATTAAAACGTTTTATTTCAACATCAGGTGATGAACCAACATTAGGAAAACATTCATTTTGTTTATATGTGAATGTTTTTTTTACAGTCATATCCCAAAAATGCTCATCAATTGGTGATGACATTGGTAGAAAATCATCATCAACAAGTACACCGGATGGTTTTGTATTATCATCAAATTCTAAACTAGTCAAACTACGTATAGATGTAAGAGTAGTTGTTGATGATGATGAAGATGTTTCATTAGTTGTTGAAATAAGTGTAGTAGGTCGTCTAAGATCACATTTACGTGCTATTGAATGAAATTCCATTGAGCGTGAATGTCCATTTGTATCAATTTGATTTCGTTGTTTTGATAATAGTAAAGCCGTATTTGAATGTGGAATAGTAATTAGAGGAGATTGATGATATTCTTTTTGTTGACTGCGAGGTAAATTCTATTAATATAAAAGACATATGTAATATAAAAATCTATATGTCAAATTTATTTTGTTAGAAAAGAGAAAACTATAAATTGTGTTAATACACCATATTTTTCTTATATTCTTCGTCTATATATTTACTAATAAAATCTGAACGCCTATATAAATATACAAATAATAAATGAATAACGTATGTTTATAATAAAGAAACAACGTTTCTATTTTAGGAATAAAAATGTCATGTAAATTATAAAATATATATATTATAGACTTACTGTTATTGGTTGTAAAGATTTGCCATTTACCGGTTTAAATGTCTTTGAGCATAATATTGTATGTGAAGAAGGAGAAGTATTATTAAGAATATTTAAATCTGAATAAGAACCATTTGTTAATATATCTGCATTAAGACGATCGATTAATGAATTCATATCGTCATCGTCATCAGTATTATTAAGATGTTTTGTTTGCATATAATCATTATATTGTTCAATATTATTTGTTATTAAATGACTGCACGCTTGATGATTATTGACACGCTCTATACTTTCAACAGGTGACGTCACTGTTGTTGTGCTTGAAGCACTATCATCAATGAAGCGAAAACGTTCAATTTTTTGCATGAAAGCTTTTTGATAAGATGATGATGGTGTTGTTCCTGTTGGTATTATATTGGAAGATTTTTTACGGTGATGATTTTTTAAAGAATTTAATTGATTTTTTAGAAATGATGTTCGATCACTACTATCTGAATCGATTGGATGTGATGAAGTAGGTGGTGGTGGTGAGACTTTTTTATTAAGAGTTGTAGAATTATTTGTAGGAAAAAATATATGTGATTGTTTAGCGATTGAATTTCGATGTAATGTTGATGCAAGTGAAGCTCGACGTCGAGTTTTTAAATCGATACCATTGCCGTTGTTACTATCGCCGACGGCACTAGTAGACGTCAATGAAGAACAAAGCGGATGTGAGCTTGAAGGACGCACGAGTGGTAACAGAGCATTGAGAGAATATTTACGAGCCGTATGGTTCGATGAATTCTTAATAGTTGATACAAGTTCTGTTGTTAATAATGGTGTTTGATCGTCACACTAAATCAAAAAAAAAAAGGTTTCAAAAAGGTGATATTTTCTTTAGTCTTAATTAAATCTAAATGACGTCTTTTTCTCTTATATATATATGTATATATAAATACCTACCAGATCATCTTCATTTGATCTCGTTACTTCATTTGTGGATGATAATAATGATGGAAGTAATACTGATTCTACTATTTCTGATGAAGTCGGTTTGGTTTCTGTTTTTATTCCTAATGATTCCTCATATTTCTCATCTATATTTTTATTCCGAACTGAAGTCTCAAAATGTTGGTGTTGCTCGTAGGAATGATTAGCATTGTTTCCTCTCGAGCAGCCACCGCTGTGCACCACCGGTGTTGTTAATACAGTATCATCTGTCCTTGGAGCCACTTCAAATCGTTGCAATGATTCTACACCATTATTTTCATCAGTAATAGTTCGATTTAAAGTAGTTTTTGTTCGTTTATTTCGATTGGAATGTTGACGTGAATGATTTCGTGCTGTAATACACGGCAGACAAAGTTTACGAAGTGTTGGCGACGACAGTTTGATATTATTTTTTGTTGAAATAAAATGTCGATGATCATGCACGTTAATAACGAATATATAACGAATTGTATTTTGACGATACAATATATATATATGATAGGACCGTGCAGAGGATCAAACGACGTGATTGACGATGAATAGAAAGAATTGTATGTGGGTATGTGTGACAGAGAGAGAGCAATAGAATGAGAGAGACAGGAAGAGAGAGAGGAAGAGAGACGAAAAGAAAATAATAAACAATAACAGGTAGTTTATCTTAAAAACAAGGAAAAAGATGATGATGATGATGTGCACGCAGACCAAACATGCCAATTGAGTCGACTACGTTCTGCTATTCTTTATTCGGCACAACGAACGGCATTTTTTCATTAACATGACAGCAAGAGCCCTTTCTCGTTCTACATGTTCTCTGTTCCATTTATGATATTTGTTTCTTGCGGCTAACAGAGTAAGCGAGCATCGCTACATAGAACATGTTAGTAAAAGAAAGAGAAAGAGAATCGAAGCAGGAAAACGACATGTTCTCTCTTTTTCCTACTAGTAGTTTACTGAGTGACTAGTCGCCGAGACGTCGTTCACATGCATTATCATCATCATCATCAGAAATGGCTCGTCATTTTTCTTCTAGTTATAGGAATAGCAGATAGATTCAATTTACATTAACGAAATCATAAGCCAACAGACTGAGTATATATAGTATGTGTGCATGTAACTGTGTTAATATTATCTTATAATAAAAACACTAAATATTTTATGCACTTTATTATTATGATGCTAGTGTTAATGTCTATTTTCTTGCATATGATATTTGATTCTTCTTGAGAAATTTGATCTTTATCAGCATGAATAAAACCTTGAAAATTTGTTTCTTTAATCTCAAAATTTAATGAATATCATCAATATAATATCTTAAATATAATTGAAGATTATACTTTATCAATAAATCGAATTTTCATAACGGCATAGATATAAAAGAAAAGAATCGAAATGACTTTCTTTCGGATGTCACTATACACTGAGTATGCCTAAATGAGTTTGCGTATAAAGGGTTACTTGCATGCATGCACAGGAAATTGATTTTTGTCCCTAGACAAATCGGCATTGCTGTTGTATATATATATATATATATATTCTTCAGAGTATAGATAGACAAAATGATGAACAAATTTATACATGGCATTTATCGATCAATGCAGGAGATACACAGATAGAGTATGTAATCGATAAATACAGAACAACCTACTCCTGTTAGCGCTCATCCTTGTCGGTCTATACATATATTCTATTAAAGATTGACAGGCTCGGCATTTGTCTAATCGATCTATAGAATTTACTGAACAATTTGATAATGAAATATTGATGAGTTTTACAAAAAAAAAAAAAAAGAAAAAAGAAGAAAAGATAAAGACAGAATAATGTCGATATATAAAAAAAATTGATTGTCCTTGACAACAAAAAGCGACATACAGCCTTAAACGATATTCCACCTGTCATTTAATCAGCGATACATAATATTTAGAAAAGAATGCTTAAAGCAATGACAAAAAGATATTTCATCGTTTATAATATACATATATATCTATACAATTATTAATCTTATCGTTTTTATATTTTTTATATTTTATCTAAAAGACCTTATGAATACAAACAAATAAGAATAAGGAATGATCGAAAAAGAAAAGGCTACAGATAACAAGATAAACAAGTATATATGTGTTTTAACAACTTATTAGGTTTGTAATTGCAGATGACATATGTACAAAGGAATGTCTATTATCCTTGAAATGATATGATTTTGTCGTTTTTTTTTGTCTTTCAAAAAAAGAGTTAAAGAAAATTCTATAGAAACTTACTTGACTAATGCCAATAGCAGAATCTGGTTTATGTGTAATTGGTTCTATATCAATAGACAAATTTGAAGAATGAGATATTTGCTGATTAGGAATTGTCGATGTGTCACAGGAGGAGGTGACATCACGATGATGTAGAACGTCTGTTTTTAGTGTTGTATCAATGGATGAAGACGATAAAACAACGACAGCTGCTGATTTTGATGAATGATCACAAGCAGGAATACTTAACCGTTTTGCCGGTAACGAAGTATTTAACTGTTCGTCAAAACGATTACTTGGTGTACGAACATATTTTTGAGTATAATACTAAAAGCAAAAAAAAAAATAGAAAATCAATTAAGCATTAAATTCTTATATATATTTATTTAACGAACGGAGAAAAAAACAGGTATATAAATAAAAGAATTATCTATTGTTTTTCGTTTATGAATATAAATTAAAAGGAAACATATCGATTCTATTATTTAGTTATATAATCAACTAACACATCATTCTATTAATACTCTAAACATACGCTAATAAATTAAATTTGATTTCATTCCTATTGAGCTTTATACTAATCGAATAGAAAACCCGCCACTTAGAAAGTTATTAGCTAGCTTATTATTATACGCACACGTACATATATATATGTAAAAGAAGCCTTAAGGGTATGAGCATAAAGCGTTTCTTTTGTCTCATTGCGATTGAGTAATAGTAACATATATAAAGGACACAAAAAAAAAGTGAAAAAGTATTTTAATATCCTACTGTATTCTATAGATAATACTTCTACTAGAATGTGTTGTTTACTATCGTGACGTTTATACACAATAGTAGTGTAACAAGGGAATATTCCTTTTCGTTTCGTCCTTGATTGTTTTTGATACAAAAAGGCAGTTTAATTTAGAGAAATACTTAGACATGTGCATGTTATCATCGATTTTATTCTTTAGACTGACTATATGTATAAAGCAGAAGAAGAAGACTAAGTGATGATGTTAGTCTATATAAATATCATGTCACGCAAATCCGGATCGGAACGTTTCTCATTTCTCTTTCTTCATCTCAATATTTAAGTAACTGAAAACTTTAATAATATAATTAAGTAAAAATAAAGATATACTTTCTTTTTTTTTCATAATACATCATCAATAATGATTGTTAAGTATATTTGTTTTTTTTTCTTCAATAATCAACAGTTATTTCTTATTCTCAATAAAACAATTATGATTCTATTCTTCTCTAATGAAAGTAAACATCGATTCGATTATTAAATGCTTTAAGCAAAATGATGTAACAAGAAAAGAAAAAAAGTTTTTTTTTATAATAAAAAAATAACTATTTGTTAAATTTATAAATAATTACTATATACTTACATTATAGAAATGAATTTCTGTCAATTGTAACTGTAGAAGAGAAAAAAAAAGCACTCGATTATAAAGTTAATGAGTGTATTTTTGATAGTAAGTCTATTCTTTTTTTGCAAAAAGATAATGTTGATTATAAAGAGTAGATAGGAACTAGTACTAAGAAAATTTTTTTTTCTATCGTCTGACATAGGACAAAAAGATGCATACGCATAAGCTCATATTTATATATAGTAATAGACTTTGACGGAAGAAATAAGTCATTCGTAAGATTTGCTGTTACTCTTCAGCAAACGCAAAAACCAATAAACAATAATCACTTTTGATTAACTTACATATTTCTGTCTTGAAGTTTTTTCAAAAAGAAAAAAATAATCGAATGCAAACGAGCCTAACAAGATGTCTATTGATTGAACAATATGTTGTGCGATTTTCTATATTTTCTTCTACGTTCGGAAGTCTATGAATTGTCGCTCTCTAATGTCTGTCGTTCTCGGTTTTTTTTTCTAATAATTTATTATGTGTTTTCTATGTTTGTTCTGTTTCTTTTAACGGCAATGTAGAATGTAGATCGATGTCTCTCATTGCAATTTTTTCTTAGCTAAAAGCAATAGTTCTTGCTATTATTAACGACTCTCAAGACATCAAACACAAAGAATATAGTACTTGACTTTCCTTCTTTCTTGTGTTCTTCTTTATTGAATCGTTTATTATATCACACTTATTAGTTTACTAAAGTATCTTTAATACATACTCCAACACTTCCTCGTCTTGAACTTGGTTCACTATATTGTGCAACACGATTTCGAATGATTTCGGTTTGTATATTATCTGGTTCTTGATTACGACAAGCATTTCTACAAAAAAAAAAAAAGAAGAAAATTTTCTTTCGTAGTTTATAATAAAATTTGTGATCTATAGAGTGAAGAAGACTTTTTATTCGAGGGTAAAATATTATCACAAACAATAATCAATAATAGAACGAAGGAAAAAAATATATATCATCACAATCGTTACATTTTTTCTAGTTTTATAATATCTTGAAATACTAATGATGCTAGAAAACAATTTATAAAAGTGATTTTTGAATTGATTTCAAGAGTTACACATTATGTCATGTCTTATGATGATGAAGTGCATGAACACCTACTGTTTGGTACAACAGGCATGACATTGATAGATAGATGTCAATGTCATAGTAAAAATTCAAATAAACCATATTTTTACAATTGTTATTATTCGGAAGTAGTAGTAATAGAAATATTCATACAATCTCTTTTATGTTCATTGATATATCACGTACAAAAATCTATCTCTTTTCAACAACTAATTAGACATTCACACATTTGATATTCTATTAAATTTATAAATAATTAAAATAAACTATTTATATTTGTGAGAAGAGGAGAAAAAATACTTACATATAGTTACGTATAACTGCTGCTATTTCCATGAGTTTATATCGTTTTTTACTTTCATCTATTTAGTTGAAACTATATGATGTTTATGCAACACACACACAACAAAAATGTACCTCATATATTCACTATTAGTCGCGACAATAATCGTAAGTCTCTATCTGTCTATGTCTCAATACACGAACAAAATCGATTTTTATTTGATATGACAAATGTTACTTATACACAAAATAAGACACGCCCGTTTAATTATGTAAAACGATATTCATATACTTACTTAAATCGAAATATAACAATGATCAGCAAAATAAAACTAATAATAATAACAACAGTTATAATAACTTTAAGTTGTGTTTTTGTTAAAGCTGAAAGAGAAGAAAAAAAATTCTAATAACAAGATTAAATATATATTTACTTGTTATATCTGTGAATATATTATATCTATCTGATCCTATCTCATTTGTTGGTAAATTAATAACATCACCATCTGTAAAATTTAAAGTCTTAGATAGAATATTTCTTGATAGTCGACGTTTGAAATTATTATTGACTGATGATGATGATGATGTCGTTAAAATGAACATTGCTAATCTTGTATTATTAGAACAAATAATAGGATTGATTAATGATAAACATCCGATAAGAAATTGAACCGTAATAAAAAAAATGATTGATATACATGTTCGTTAAATAATATAGTCATTTCTGTTAAGATTTGTTTTTCCTTATAATATTCTAAATGAGAAGAGAAAAAAAATAATCAGTAGTATTAAAGGATTAGACGCACAAAACTAAGATTAGCAGATAATATATATATTTAAACAAGTCATTTGTAAGTGAATACATGTGTCTATATTAAATCCAGCTTATGTTTAACAGTAAGTTAAAAATATTTCTTGAATTTGTTCAAGTACTCCTTGTCGTCTATTGACATGATCCAATACATCATAGATATAGAAAACTGCTATTTGAACTGTCACATTTTATTATTTTTGTATCTTAATACTCTACTTGTAGACTGTAGATTAGTCAACTAGATGTAATTTATCATTCTAACTCTTTTTTTTCCTTTTACTTCGCAGTATTAGTGTCGTCTCAAGTTATTACTATTCATAATACTGAAAAAAAAAGGAAATTTATGGCATTGATCAATGAATACTAGACATGCATTTGTCTTTCATTTAGTAAACTCGTTTACTACTATTCAAAATAGAGATTAATTACAGAACACATATGATAGTAATTATAGAACTACATATTTCATTTATCTTTACTTATAGTTTTAATATTCGATGAAATAAATTTTTCAATTATTAACAATAGAGTTACACGTGTATTCATGAGTTTCTTTCTAATCTTTTATCTATGGCATGAAAGTAATAAATATTCATAATATGTATTCAAATAATTATTTATCGAGTAAACACGAGTTGTACTTACAGTTAATTTTCTTTATATAATAGACAAGTTTCATCTCTGCTGCAAATATATATGGGTATATTTGTCTAATTATTTTAAGACCACTTACGAAAGACAAACAAAAGGACATATATATTCTATTATTGTTGTTATAATAATGCACGTTCTCGCATTTTTTTTCTAGTCAGAATACATGGATCTATGAGGAAGAAGAAAAAGAAACAGCAATGTATATGGTGCTTCGAGGAAGAAAGTATAGTTAATGCGCACGGTAGCAGAACAACGCTTCAGATTTTTTTTATAATGAAAAAGAAAGGAAAAAGAAAGCAAAGTCATTGTGAAATATAAAGATATGACCAACAATTATTCCATTCATCATCTTACATGTATTTAAAAGATTTTTGTATAGAAAAACAAAGATTAAAAAAAGGATTTTGATTTTTATTCTATTCAGAAGATTTTATGAGATCACAAAATATATATTGACATTAATCAATATGAAACTACGCAACATCGGAAATACGGTACAATGAATTTATTTGACAGTATATCAACTGAATAATTTTTATATATAATATGACTTGAAGTCTTATAGTAAACATTTAAAACCTTGAAATGCAGGCAGATGGAACAAATATTTCGAATTATAATATAAACAATTTTTATAAGTATGACAACATAAATTATGAAACAAGGTTTTCCATCTACAGAAATATTTTAATTAATAAAACTGATAGGACTATACTCGATTAAAAATAAGTTATAATATATTCATTATTACTTCATGTGATGAATTTTAAAATACTCTATAGATAATATCTTATTATAAAGAAGGTTGTTTCATTAGCAAAATGATTATTGACACTATATTTTTATGGAATAGACTATAACAAAAAAACGAAAATTTATTTAATCTTAGTTAGCTCAATATAAACTAGAGTGTGAGATTAACACTCGTATTAAGGAATCTGATAAAACTATTCCTCATTGATTTTCACTAGGATAATTACTATTCTTATTGTTTTTCTTTTCTCATCAAGAAAAGAAATACCAAATAATCAAATGATAGTCATGTTACGATGTCTGGAGTTATTTGCAAACGCATTAATTACACAAGAAGATATTAAAAAAAAATGAGAGAAAAACACTAACCAGAAAGAAATAACCAATTACTAATACATACGCGTATGTAATCAGACGAAGAAGAAAAAAACGATATACAACATTCTATCAGATAACATGATTTATTAGTTAAACTCTAAATAAGTTTATCTTGCCAATCATGAGGAACACAATATTATCGTTGTTTTTTCTATTTCTACCCGATTTATGATTATAATCATTTTTCTTATCAAACGACTAAGATATTTGCTTATTTTCTAACAGAATCTTAGCAATTTACTATAATCTAATAAAACTTCTAACTTACTTGTTTTTATCGAAATAATATTGGTCTCAACATCTTATTTTTAGGCAATGTATTGAATTAAACTGTCTCCGATCATTTACGCTATATAAACATATTCTCTTCTTATCTTGACATTAACATGACAGTTGTATAAAATATGAATCTTATTTGATGGCATCATGTCTTTTAACTTTATGTATGATTTTAAAATATCAACTCAATTTTATCAAAGAAATCTTCCGATAATATCGTTAGACGATCGGCAATAGATCTTGGTTGGAGTTTATAGAAAAATATAACATGAAGAAATCGTCGGATATATTCGCTCGGGATGTTATGACTATCGTAAAAAAAATTTAGCAGATGAATGATATCAGTTAGATTGGTATCACTTCTTTCATCATGTAAGTATAATAACAGAGAAAACATATTCATTTATGATTGTATACAAATGAATTAATCTAATTTGAAATACATTTTTCCAAATTTATTTAAAAAGAAACAAAATTACACTCGTATAAATATTAGTTTTCGTCTTTTCTTTTTTATACAAGCAAAAAATATATGTGGCAAAGAATCTGTGTTCGATAAAAAAAGACGAATATTGTTCATAAAATTTCCATTGATATATGATAATCAACTGGTCCATTACCTGAACCATTATAGATGTATGAATTGAAATTAAGAATAATCTTGGTGAGTCTTGGCACTACTTGGCCTAGAGTTTGCTGATCCTGTATAATCTGATTCGTAGTAAAATATAGAATTAATGAAAAAGACATGATGCTTAAATACCTGATGACGATGGTGTATTTAAATTATTATACAATGGTCTATAGTTTGCAGAAGGAGATTGAGGATATCTCATTGCTGAATCATCATCAGCTGGTCTAATAATTGATTTTATACCAGGAGAAGTACTTGTATGACCTGATGATCTGTTTGAATTCTAAAGTATACATTTATTATAAAGTATTTTAAACAAGATTATCAGTAACTTACATTTGCTATTTGATTTTCTGCAAGACGCTGTAAATAACGATATGCGTCATCAAAAGTTCGATATTTATCAATAAAAGAACGAAGTTCATCTTCATTATCTGATTGATAATGCATCAGACGAATAGCTTGTACTTGTTCATGAGCATTATCAAATGTATAACTTTGCAAATTCTTTATCAAATTATGCGCTTCACTGTAAAACATACGATCAGCACGCTATAAAAATCAATAGATTATATATTAAAATAAAACTTTAAAGAATGAACGTCATTTTTTTCAGATAGAAATATTAGTATGAAGAGTTCATTAGTTTGTATATTAAGTGGAAAGTGAATTTGAGTCATATCTTTTATTAATGAAAGTAATTTATATGACTTAATTTAAAACAGATTTGAAATGAATTATTGATGAATAGGAAGATATATCCGAAAAGTAAATAACTCACATCAATTTCATGATTTCCAACTTCAAGAACAGCACGAAACAGATTATATGATGATTTTTTCTTCAAATTCTTATTAATTTGTTTCAAAGGTTCTGTAATGTTGATCAACGAAGTATCAGCAGGATTTTCAATCGAGTCTTCTTTATTCATTTTTTCTTTTAATATATTTAATACTTGATTTGGATCATCTCCATAGGCCATTGTCAGACGTAAAGTTGAATCGGAACACAGCTGAAAACCGTCTGGAAGATGATTTATCCATTTCTTTGTGCGCAGGTCCACTCGATTCATATCACGTCTTATACTGGAAACTTCTTGTTCAATATCAGATTTCTTCATAGCAAAATTATCTGTTTGAATTTTCTCTTGTATTTTTCTCTATATGTATAAAGTTCAATTAGACACCCAATATATAAATAAGAACAACTGGATATTACTTTAAGTTCGTTTACTACATGAACAGTTAATGCATCAGACGCAGATAGATCTTCCTTCTGTTGCTAAAGAAAAACATACGAATAAAACGATTATTTTCAAAGGAACATGTAAATATTTACTATTTGTGCAATATCATTAATATGTTGTTTCGGTGAAGAATTCATATTTGATGATGAATGGGAAGTTTCTTGACCATTTCGATACTGAAATAAAATAATTAATCGTCAGATCATTAGGAAATAAATATATAGTGAAGGATATTCCTGATTTTCTCTAAACGGAAATTTTTAACAAAATTCAATGTTGTTCTAAAAGTCTTTTGACGATGCAGACTAATTAAACATGTTGTGTTTTATAAAGTATGAAATATAAATGAATAGCGTTCAGTTTGCTAATGATAATTACTTGGTAATTATCTGAAGATCGGTATGGATCACTAGCATTGCTTGGATGGAATCTTGAGACAGTTGTATAAGTGGGGTATTCATTTGAAGCCATTTGCTATTATATTATTGTATGATCAATTAAGGTTAGGCGTAAGCTTTTGAATCTTCGAATTATTCTTTCCACTACAACCTAAAAATTTTACTTTAAACACAATATTAAGTACATTTTAAACTAATAAATATATATATATACATTAATTGATGACACTCGCTGTTGAGTTTGACAATATATTCACGTCTGAAAAATCGATATAAAATAAAAATATATGTTTATCATTTAGTTTCTTTTAAATTTAAGAAGAAGATTGTTATTTAATAATATTAATCTAAGAATAAATATAAAACAAAGGTATATTATCACATGCAATATATATATATTAGAAGATTTCATTAAAAATGACTTTAAATATATAACCAACTCTTCAAAAAAAAATATTACTAATGTGATCAAATATTTAAAAAAAATACAATAAAATTAAATCTCGTTTAAATTATTTGTTCTTATTATCGAGAATATATCACCGTTTAGAACATAAAAACATTCTTTTTATTACTGTCGTACTCTTGGTATCCTTTTCGGTATTCCTAAAAATTGAGTTAAATGTTGTTGAGCCAACTAAAACAGAAACTAAATAAAAACAATTGATTATAAATTTATATACATACCTTAATTAAATCTGCCCGTGTTGTATTTGCTGGTACAGCTATTGATGCACTAGTAAGTTTTTGAATTAAATTATTATCTTCATATAATTCCCTTTTGAAATAGAAAATTAGTTATATATATGAAAATGACGAATTTTATTTTGATTTACCATGGTTCTATTTCGTTACGCCAGATGAATAAGCATAAAAATTGTTTATAACATGGTCTATTTTTGACAATTAAAATTAAATAAAAGTAGAATAATATTTCATACTCGCAAAATCGATTTTCACATGCAATTGATGGTGCATTTTTACAATCTTCAACTGGACATACGAGACCAGTTGCTACTGGTTTTTGCGCAAGTTCTTCTGCAACATCTATGTCATGAGTCTAAAAGAGAGATACAAAATTCGTATAAAGAAAAACTACAAGATATTATACAAACAGTTAACAATCGAGTGATTTGATCTACTGAACTGTCACGTATTTCACGGAAACAATTCAAATAGCAATGTGCATGTAGACTGTTTTTTAATCCGCAATTAGATCGCTTACAAACCTAGAAAAAAAAGATAGCTTTTATTTAGTTAATCATTGTTTATTACTGATTTATTTTTGGGATTGTGAAATAATGCTGAACATATTCGACAAAATTCTGTATGACATTCACGACATGTAAAATGTTCACATCCACCGGCTTGACTATTCGATATTCGTATAGATATTATTTAGAATATTTAAAAAAAAGCTCTTCAATATGACATACTATTCATAGATAGCTTTGCATTGTTCATTTGGACATATCATGCCGGCTGTATTCAAATACTTTGTAAGTTGTACTTCTGGATCATCAGGATCATTTTCTCTTAACCAATCAGCATATTGTTCACAAGTCAATCCAGTGTGTTCAGGAAACCACTAAATAAGAATAGAAAGATATTTTTAGAAAAAGTATATTAAAAATTTACTTTTCGACAACATTGTTGACATTGATCAAATCGACAATGAGGACATTGAGCGAGTACAATTCGATTATTATGATTAATATCAAAAAATCCTACACACTACAATGAATTAGACAATAAAAAATAAGTAACAAAATCAATTAACATACTCTTTGATTACCACATTTTTTAATTTGTGAATCTCGAGTTGCTAAAAATAGATTTTCATGATATGCATCAAGAATCAATCGTTCATCGGTAAACCATTGATTAAGCTAAAAGATCATAAAACTTCATGAAAATTATATCAAAATATTTTTGTAGTTTACTTTTGTTCCTAAGAATTGAAAAAAAAATTTAGTATTATCTTCTGCAAGTGGATGTGCTTCTAGAACACAAGTTAATCTATTTAATGCTTGACGATCTGTAATTTCTTTAATAGTGATTCGATAATACTGCTTAGTGCAAGATAAACAACATATATGATCACATAAAAACATCGATTCCATTCGACTACGCGGAAAAGTATCACCACATACAATACATTCGAGTGACAATGATTTAATAGCATTATCTTGAAAATCTTCACGAATATGTGTGTTATCACATGATTTTATAATATCTCGAATATCTACCATAGTAAGATGTTGAAGAGTTTCAGACGATACTTTGCATAAAGCATATGCAAGTAATTCAACTTTTAATGTTGATAGATTACGGATAATATATGATAATTCACTATAGATCAATCGAAACATTTTCTAAAGTAAAATAAAAATGATTTTATTAAGTTAGTATGAAATTTATTTTTCTTACAGAAAGAATAAGTTCGTTGATTTCTTGATCATTGTGTTGTTGTCGAAGTTGGATAATAGCGGTTACAAGATGTGTAGCATTTTTCCATTCCTAAATAACAATACAGAAAGAATATGATTATCATAAAAGAATTAATTCTTACATCGCCTTCATGTAAAAGCATTTGAGCAGCACCATTTTCATCTATATTTTCATTTATGGACGCCCAATGTTTGTCTATATCATGTAAACTATTTTCAATAGTTGTTGTAGTTGGTTCTCGTGAAATAACTGGTTGCGGAGGTGGTTTCTATTAAATATATAAAAATAGATTTATGAACGAAAAATCGATCAAACGAACTAGATTTGGTCGATTGGAACGAAGCATTTCAAGTGCACGTGCTTCATCGAAATTTGCTCGTATTAAACATTCATAATAAACATCGTCACTCGAACATATATTTTGATTTCTATCACTTTGTTTCAAGTTTCCTATTCTTCGATCAATGTCACTATCAATAAAGTCGTCACTACCAAATTCAATGGATCCCGGATATATTTGTTTAAATAGGAGAAGTAATAATTTCCGACGAATAAAGCTATGTGCAGGTAGTCCACCGTGTCTTGTTACAATACTTTTCTTAAATGTAGAAGACATATGAAATTGATATAAAAGATTATTTACAAACCTTAAATGATTTAATAGCTTCAGATGTTTTATCATTACCTTCTTTAACCTTTGTAGAATTAGGCATCGTTGGTGGAGGTGATGATATACGAAACTAGAAATAAATAATTTCAATATTTGTTGATATAATTAATGATCTGCTTAATCCTTAAAAGGCGAAGGATTTTTTTTTTGGAGCTAAGAGAGAACTAATGACAGAAATAGAGATTTTGGGCTCTCAGTATGCTCATACTACAAGTAAAAATGTTTGGTGTCGTCAAAACAATTTTCCACTCACGTGAAGGGGTACCTAATATGGTACAAAGTAACCGAAAGCTCACTTTGATGACATTCCAATAGGTTTTACCTTATTTATTGAGCGAAAAATTTAAAATACCTTTGACTGTTATGGCCAAATATCTCTATAAAAAAGAATTTTTCCACAACATCAAAATACATCAGCAGATGGATTAAAAACTTATGGGGTGGTTTTACATTATTACTAGTGATATCACTCAAAATCCACACTGTATCTATCAACAAACAAATTTCCGAGTAAGAAATTGCGCTTGGAAAACCTCACATTACAAAAACTATGTTTCAATGTTTGACAGCTGTTTTAGCGTGAGTTTTTCTTATTCTATCATCCTCTCGGAAAATAGTAACTTTTGTTTGTACGATTATTTTTGCTTCTTTTTTGTAGCGATTAATAGAATGTCCTCTGGAATGGACATTTGGCTTTCAAGGGTTAATAAAAAAAACTAAAGAAGGACGAATTAACTACACATCATTAATATACTCACACTTGTCCATGATTGTGATAACCTAGAATAATAGAAAAGAAATTTCTTACATGCATAAAAGATTATTGATCGACTCACTGTTGCGGTTCATCTAGAGAAGAAAAAGAGCTGAATAATATTTTTTTAAATTAAATTGGAGTTTTTTGATACATACGTATACGATTGCGTTTAACATTATGGTTACCATCACTATTATCTACATGATTGTAGGACGGAAGTGGAATTGTGCATGAATACTAAATTTACAAAAATTCATTAGAAGTGAACTTTTAAATAAATCTTACATTAATGTAGTCTTCGAATCCATCTAAAGTATTATCTCTAGCCTTTTTTAAATCATCGTAAAA